CTCAATCAAAGCTGAGATGAGCTGGTCCCCAAATGTACCGTGGTATGTCATAGTGGTTGCTACACCAATAAGAAATTTCTATCTTAAGTACCTTTGACATAGCCACATTGGGTTAGCAAAGCAGGCAGTGAGCATCTGCTTATTAAAAAAAAAAATCCTCTAATTCTTTCCTTTATACTCCACCCTTTTGATAATTCCACAGTATAGATTTTGCTTCATCCATTAAGCCCACGGTGCTGTTTTGAAAAGAAAGTCAATTAATTACTTTGTTAATGCATAGATAATATGATAGTGATCTGCCAATTTATTTATTTTTTGATCTGCCAATTTAACATAGAGCCTCCAACCTTGTCTTGTATGTAACAGGCATTCAACAAACATTTAGTGAAGAAAAATGTACCTGCATTATGATTTTGTCACCTTAGAACCATATTTAGCAAATGCTCTTTTTTTATTTATTTATTTTATTTTTTTTTGTTTTATTTATTTATTTATTTATTTATTTATACAAGCACTGGGTACAGTCAGAAGCGCGGGAGGGTGAGAGAATTCACCAGAGACAGAGCGGGGAGCAGAGCAGGCAGAAGGACCGAAGCACACTGCTGAGGGGAGCAGCGGGCGGCAGGAGAGGTCTGCGCGCCATGTGGGACCCTCCTCTGGTGGCCGGGGAGCAGCCGGGGATCGAACTGGTGCTGCAGAGGCCGCAGGCAGCTTCGCAACCCAGCGCTCAACCGCTGAGCCACAGGGAGCCCAATGCTCTTTTTTTAAAAAAAAAAAAAAAAAAACCAAATTTTCAGGGGAGGGGTCTCTTGCATAGCTACTGTACAGCCTACTTTGTGCTTCTGGAATTGTCAAAACAAACTTAACTGCTCTCAGGGACGCTGATCCAATATCACTGTCAAAATGTTTTACAACAATTCGGCCAAATGTTTGTAGAACAGCTGTGCTACTAGTCTGCCTGAGTCATTTTCCTTCTTTTGGCCCAATCCTGTGATTCATCATTCCACTTTTAGAATATTTGCCTATTTTTAAAACCAGTCAAAGAAGGCAGCCACTGTTTAAAAGTAAACACACCACACATCAACTCAGGGCAGCTTCACAAACCCTAAAATTTCTGGCTGGTCGAGTTGCCAGATAAACCAGATGGCGTGGAACAGTGAAATTCAGCACTGGCCTTCCGACTGCCTAGTCTTCTCCCATCTGGCTTTGGTTTTCTAGTTCCGCTGCCATTTCCTGCTTGGATTAATCTAACTTGATGCATTCCTCAACAAACATCTTGCTTTTATTTGTCTATCCAAAGCATCGCCTATATGTTTATATCTATGTCAGTCAATCAGACTTTCATGCAGGTCAGGGAATCCAATCTGAAGTCTTAATCCATGAAATTAGCAGTGTTCACCTATATATGCCTCTATATGGTATGACTATAATCATGTGGGTTTCCACAATGGGCTTCATGAAATCTGAGTCCTATCAGGCATATATTTACTATAGTAGAGCAAATGGATCATTTCCTTTTTCTTTTTTATAATTAAGCAGGAAGGAGTGTGACTTCACAGGGACCAAAGAGGGTTAAGTCCCCGGAAACTTAAGTTCCATTCCTGGCTGTCTTTTAAAATTCTAGAATGCACTGTCTGTTCTGTACTTTGCAGGAGTGTTTTCTCCTTTCAGAAAGTGCCGGCTCATCTAACATTTCTAAAGTTATTAGGGTTGGGATGTCAAAAAGTAATATGTTCACACTGACCTGTGCAAATTCTTCTGGCCTTGAACCCAGATGAGCTAAAATAATCAGAATGTCTGCTTTATCGATATTTTACTGAGTAAATTAAAGTGCTCTTTAGAAGAAATCAGCTTTACAAAGTATATGTTTTATAATGAAGGTCAGCTGCCACAAGTAAATATTTCTGTCTTTTGGCCAACTCTTTACAAATGATGGTGTGGATTTAAAAAGCCACAGCCCTTGGCGGAAGTTGTCACTACTAATCTGAATAAGTGGACATCACTCATGGGGCCTGGGGTTGGCCTGCCTTGTTTCCTCTTGAGACAGTCCTCCAGCCTGCAGCCAGAGTCCTGGGAAGATTCATCTGTTGCCTCTTGATTTCTAAGGCTAAATTGTGTGGTTGAACCTGTGGGCAGTGTCTGGCACACAGAGAGGAACAAATGGGTTCACATCTGGTGCTGCATTGTCATTACATGGCAGTAATATGGTATTGCTCTTTTTTTTTTTTTAATATTTTGTTTATGCATACAAAAACTGGGGTGTAGGCCAGAGGTGTATATGTTGTAGGGGATGAGAAGATTCACCAGAGACAGAGTGGGGAGGCGGGCATGTGGGTCTCCTGAAATACATTGCTGAGGGGAGCAGTGGGGGAGACAGGAGAGGTCTGCTGTGCCATGTGGGTCAGCTCCCTGGTCTGGGATCGAACTCATGCTGCAGTGGCTGGTGCTAACTTGATAGTGCTGAGACTTTAACCCCTGCACCACCAGGGAGGCCCATGGTACTCCTCTTGACTAAAATATACCAGAGGGGTATCGATCACCATGACCCTTGAGGAGTTTGGGAGGCTGACACTCTCCTTGTTTGCCTTGTCTTTCTGGCCATTAGCTTTGGTGCCTTCAAAGAAACGTCAGCCTGAGAAGCCAGCAGCTCCTGGTCCGTTGCCTTTTATTCTGAGTAGGGGGAGGGTGCTTGCTTCTGCCTTGTGTCTGGCTCCTGTCACTGCTTCAAGTAGGACAACAAGCTTTATTTAAAAATATGGCCATGAGAACATGAGAACCATCCTGACCATGATTTAAAATAATTTTTTTTTAATTGAGGTAACATCAGTTTTCATCCCTGTAAGTTTCAGATGTGCAGTGTCTCACCTCAGCGACTGTATCTATCACACCACACCCACCACCCACATCTGGTCACCATCCAGCACCCGCCAATCTGCCCCTCTGCCTGCTTCCACCCACTCCATCCTCTCCAGTGACACCGTTCTGCCATTAGTCTAAGGCTTTTTTGTTTCTGTTTCATTCATTTTCATTTTTTTCCTTATAAACCACAAAAGAATGACGTCATACAGTATTTATCTTTTCCTTCTGGCTTATTTTATTTAGCATAGTCCCCTCAAGGCCCACCCATGTTCTTGCAAATGGCAAGAATTGATCTTTTATTTTTTTTTTTTAACAACAGAGTCGTATTTCATTGTGTTAACACACCACATCCTCCTTATCCTTCAGCTATTGTTGGATTTTCATTGTCTTCAGCCACTTTGAGTTGGGAGTAATATGAAACTTGTTGGGTACTTGGATTGTTTCCTTATCTTGGCCCTTGTGAGTAGTGAAATAACTTTGGTTTTGAAATTATGTGTTTAGTATTTTGTCTTATTCTCATATCAAATGTCCTGGGGTGGGTGTTGTTGACAGGAGGGAATGGGCCTTGAATGGTCAATGGCCCTCAGAACCAGGGTCTGCCTGGAGATGTGGGGGCTCTGCTGATAGGGGACTACCAGGACTGGGTCAGCAGTAGGTTCTTGGAGATTTGGGGGTGACTTGAATATTTTAGGCCAAACTTCTCTATGATGCTTCTGAGAACTGCATGTTTTTCCATTGTCTTTTTAGAGCTCAATAGCATATTCTTTAACAGTAAGAGCCAGTTGAAAATGTAATGAAAGTTATAAACCATTCACAACCAATGCAATTTTCAAAAACACACATAAGGTCATCTGAGATTTCAGAAGAAAACATTAAAACTTTATAAGGGGCCTCCCTGGTAGCGCAGCAGGTTGAGCACTGCACTGTGAAGCTGTCCGCAGCCTCTGCAGCGCGGGTTCGATTCCCGGCTGGCCAGGGAGAAACCCACATGGCGTGGCAGGCCTCTCCTGTCTCCCCCACTACTCCTCTTAGCAGTGGTCCATCTGCCTGTTCTGCTCCCCGCTCTGTCTCTGGTGAATCCTCTCACCCTTCCTCGCCTCTGACCTGTACCCCAGTTCTTGTATAAATAAATAAAAAAATCTTTGGGAAAAAAACTATTAAAAAAAAAGGTGTTTAACTGAATTAGAAACAGTCCAGACTCTTACACAGTATAACAATATTATACAAGTATAGCTATTTCTCTAATTACCCTATAAATCAGTTCAACATCAATGGAAATTCCATTTGATATTTTGAGGAATTCAACACCTTTTTTCTACATTTTATATGCAGAACTAAGATGAAGGTAAGTAGAGCTTTAACAAAGTATAAACTGCAAATAGACTCACCTGCCTTCCTAGGTAGTAAGATGTATTGCAATGAAAATAGTGTGAAAATAGTGATATTGGTATTGATGCAAGAGTTGATGAACAGTCAAGAGGATGGCATCTTCTCACCCAGCAGCCAGGACCCATTTCCAGTGAGGGCACTGAAGGTGCCAAAGACAGAGTTGCCGAGGCTCTCAGCTCCAGCAGGGAGGTGGTGGATAGGGCCTCTGCAAGGAGTGCTTTCCGACTGAGTTTCCTGCCTAACCCAGGAGACTGGTGAAACCCCTGTTAGTGGTGGCTTGTGGGGTGAACAGAGGGCAAAACCGTCAAAGCTTGTTATTCAGAGCAGAAGCAACACTTCTATTTTTCCCGACTGCGCTCTTCTGTCCCACTAAGATTGTTCTGGTCACCTCATTAGCACCTTGTTAAAGCACTTTACTGCATATCATATTTTTTGCTTTTGGCTAAGGCTGGCATATTGAAAGACAAGCAGCGCTTAACTGGGGAACTACCAAAAGGAACATTTGAGGATTCTGATATTTGTTGGCAAAAAATTTTGGGCAGGCTGACGACGCCCTCTGTGCTTCAGTTTGTACCAAAAATGAGCAAGACTTTTTTCCTGTGTTCTATCTGTTCCCGACTCAAGTGATAAAAATAACCGAAGCAGTATATGCGGATGGTTTAACACAGCGAGTCCAAAGATGGGAACAGTAGGACCATGCTCTCCAGAGAAAGTGCTTGATAGTGAAGAATCATTTTATTTTCATGTTTCAGATGATGCACCTCCTGAAGACCCCAGTCCGCTGGTCTTCCCGGATTTAGACCAGCAGCTGCAGGTAAGGGCTTTTCTAGAGTCTCTCTTCTTGCCTCCTTGGTTTTAAAAAAACAGTGAACTGAAGAATGACCAGGATGGGAATGACTGCCTTAGAGACAGTGGGGAACTTTCTAGTCATCAAGGTGAGTATTTCTATCATTCTAAAGTTGGACTGAAGTCTCCTGCAAAGTGCCTATTTGGTTATCCAGTCATAGCACCGACTATGAAGGACTCAAGTGTAAACCAGCTCCTTTTTTTTAATTAATAATGTCTTCTTTTAATTGTGATAACATTAAGATTGTCTCCATCAGGTCTGTCCACTGAAGGGCACCTACCACCAAATCGCCATAGTCTACTCCACAGTCCATTGTGCTTCCTCCCTCTTTATTCCTACCTACCCCCTTGGCCCCCCACGTCTCCTCTTTGGATGCTTCAGTTTTCAAGAGTTAACTGGCTCCTATTTTGAAGGAGTGCTGGAGTCTGGGGAAAGGGCTGTCCCTGCTTTCTTGCTGTGCCTGTTTCCCAGTCATTGCAGGCAGGTTTAGCCTATTTTGGGTTAATGATTTAAAGAAAGAAAAACTGTGCAGAGGAGAGTTGTCTGTTTGCCAAGACTTCAGAATCATTTTCCTTTCTCTGCCCACAGCCCTCCCTTCCCCAGTTCTCTGACAACTTTTCACAGAATATAATTATTTTAAGTTAATCCTGCAAACTCTCTGGTGTGACCCACAAGGAAAGTATTTTGGTAGCATAGTTGATGGGTGATCTGTCAAGGTGTCCCAGTTTAAAACACCAGGATTATTTGAAAGGAACAAATTATGACATTTTAATTTTCACTTAATGGTCTATAGTTAGTCCTGGCAAAGATGGTTTTAGAAGGAGTTCTGCTAAAATATCCGACTATTAGCTTTGGATCAGGTGATCACTTGTGTCAATTTGCAGTCACTTTCAGATAGGATTAACAGAAATCTTGACTCCTGTGCACCATTTTTTCATTAGTTCCTGATTTTGAAAGCCTTTGAAGGGGGCCCCCATGGTCTCTATTATCATGCACCAGCATCTTTCCCATTTGTGGGTGTGCCTGGTGTCCTGAGGTCATTTGAGTCTGGGTCCTGAACAGCCCTTGACAGAGGTGGGAAGAGCCATTGAGCACCCTAGAGAAATCCAAGATGGTATCCCTTTCTGCTGGCTCCAGTTCTTATCTCCATGCCCAGTGCGCTGTGCTAAAAACCCAGGAGCAATTAGGTCAGGTTTGAAGATCTGTGGCTCCTATGGTTGGGTGGCTTCTAAGCATCAACCCAGCACAACAACTTGGCAGGAGCCCTCCTCCTGCCCCCTGCTGCAGTTCTGGGCATGGTCGCTGTCCTCTGATAGGAGGTCCTCTCAACAGAGCAACATTGATTGCCAGGAGGTGGGAGAGCCATCACCATAGAGCTGTCAAAAGGTAGCTATGATCTCCACTCTCCTTCTCTCTTCTGCAGCCATCAGCCACCCTTTCTTCCTCTGCTGCCTCCATGCGGGGTCTTCAGCCCAGCTCACCTGGTTTCTGGTATCTAGACATATCCCCAATATTCCTTCCTTTCACTCCTCAGCTCTTCTGCCCTTCCCCACTCACAGTGGCCCTCTGTCCTCACAGAAGGCCTGTGTATGAGCTGCTGCTGGTGTAGTTGAGATTATAATAGCTGCATTTTTTTCCCCTCCAGTCAGATATTCTCCTTTATTTTATTGTCAAAGGTATTCAATGGCCGTGGAAGTTAGATAAGAATAAGGAGTGAACATGTCTTGAAATTAAAACAAAGTATTTTTCAGGTTCCCGTTTCTCTACCAAATAATGGATCATTAATTCTTTCTTGTATTGGCAAAAAAAAAAATCCTCTTTCCTTTGTGAATGTTAGTGGTCTTTGCTGGCTGATGGCTCATCTTAAGCAGGATGCATAGCACTCTTGGCAATTATCCAGATAATTTTTCTCTTAAAGCATTTGGATTTTATAGTGTTAATGTTATAATATTAACTTGTATGTATTAGACATTAAGTCTGTTTAATAGTTTTAATCCAAGGAGACTATTTCATCTTCATTGATCCTTAACAAGTTAGGATGTTGAAAGGCTGGTTGTGGGTTTTGATTTCCCCTTACCTGTTCATGAACAGAGAGAACATTCCCAGCATTACAATATATTGTGCAACCATCCCAGGCTGGGTAGGTTCTAACAGTCTAAAAGAGAATTTTGGAGCCCTTGGTGTTATCATCACAGGTTTTAATAGTAAGCAGGGCCAACAAGTCAGCAGGGAGACAGCAACTTGAGCCCCTCCCCCAGGGTGATGCTGCCCTTTTATCCCCTCCCTCCTAGTCTCAGGTGTGCATATCTACTGCGTGCACACCCATTCTCCAGGTGTCCACAATCAGGCATGCATTCCCCATGCCCATGTGTCTTCCGCATTCACTCTATCTAGGCCAAGATAATAGCCACAGAGGCTAGTGGTGTAAAAGCCTGATTAATTCATTTACCCTATATCATATTAATGTTTACGTGGCTGCTTGATTATTGGGTGAAGGCTATGACTGTGTTTGCCTGTTATCAGGTTGTTGGTTAGGGTTGTCTCTTTCTAGGGCAATCACTTACTGCTCCCTCATTCTACACTCCAGGACACAGGTGACTAAAAATCAAGACAGTGAGGATAGAGAGGGGAAAGCTATATCTATATCTATATCTAAAAGCAGATTTGCATCTCCATACTTAGCATAAGCATATAAGCTTAAGCCATTCAGAAGCAGGAAATCTGTATTGGAAGCCATGAAAATGCTTTATGGAGGAAAGGAGCCATCGATTCCAAGAAGCAGGCTGACTTTATGGCCATTCTCACAGGCTTTTGGGCTCCCATCACATTGTAATGACTTGGTATTTTGCCAACCGTCACAATCCTCTATGGGAGCATAAAAGTTCTGTGACAAAGGTATGTGAAATGGCTGATGGTTGTCACTGTTTGAGGATGAACTGACCCCTCGGTGTTCTCTAGTGGAATCTTAAACACTTGCCTAGTGAAAAATCAGGGATGCAGGTGGTTATTACCAGCTCTACTCTCTGTATCCCTCAGATTTAAATCCTGCCAATGCACACTGAATAACTACTAGGTAAGGGGCATTTCCCCACAAATGATCTCCCTGATCTTTGTGAAAATTGTATAAGCAAACTAGTCTCTACTTTACAGATGAGAAACCTGAGGTCAAATTTTGGTCTAAGTAAATGCACTTGAATCAGTTCAGACAAGATCCTGGATTTTTAATCTAGATAGCTTGCTTTCCCCTACACATTTTGTGAAACCAACAACGATGTCACTTGCTGTCACAGGTGGAGAGCTCTTGTTTCTGGTTGGCAAGGCTGCCATAATGTGGTTATAGTAGAGCTTGTAAAATCTGTTCTGACTTTGTGATATCCATTACACCTTCTTTTGCAGTTTATAAAGTGCAGCTATAAAGTATTTGGTAGATACTCTATTGCCTATTTGACCCCCAAGATTTTTCTGTTGCTTTGCCAAGAATGTGGACATGTTCGAGCCTGTAATTCGTGGTGCTTCTATTTTCACAGAAGCCAAAAAAAGCCTTGTGCAAGAATAGCAGTGACAAACATGTCTCTTGATGTCTCTATTAATGAAAAAGTTTGGGCAGGAGACCTTGGGGGAGGTAGGTGTGAAGATGAGCATCTCCGTGGACTGCAGCTCCTAGGCCAGGTGCAAGGTCAAGTCTAGTCTGTGCATATTCTTGTCACGAAATTAGTTGCTAAAGCCTCCGTGTCCATTAGACACAACATTTGGAGAGAGTGAGGTTAGAATACACAGTGAAAAGGGGCTCATTTCTATGCCCACTTCTAAGAATGAATGACAAACCATTACTTTTCTTTAGACCTCACCTTCCTTCTATTTGAGAAAGAGGTAATGATTGATACTCTTCTCTGTTCTGGAGGATGGTATAATCCTTTCGGTCCCAAGGACCAAATTTGTCTTAAAATGTAAACATGTTGCTATGTTTTGGAGACCATGGCTTGACCTGCAGACAATCCGAAATTAAACTGTAATGTGGTTTTATTGCCTTGGAATGAGGGATGTGTTTTCATCTTCAGGTAGAGGTCTTGCTAACAAGTGGGTTGTAGTAACTTCCAGATGGGAATTACAAGGACTGGCATTAGATTGGCCTGGATTTAGATCCTGGGATTTAGATCCCAACACATATGGTTGCTTTGTGATTTTGGCATGTTATTTATTTTCTATAAGCCACCCCACTTTTCTGAACTGCAAAATGGAGACAGCAATATCTATGTCACATCATGGTGGGAATTAAATGTGATTATCAGCAGAGCTAGTGCAATGCTTTGCAAAATAATTGCTCTATTAATGTCAATTTCCTTCCTCAGTGAAGGAAATATTGAATTTTTTGAATGAAGTATTTGAGAACAAGTAATTTATCTCTATGTGTGTAAAATGAAATTTAAAAGAGGATGTTTGGGGGTTTTTGGGTTAGGGAGAGAGGTTCTAATTTCTTTTCATTCAGCTAAGGTACTTGAAAAACAAGATGACTTTTTTTCCCCCCCAAACCAAATTGAGCAATAGCTTCAACCCTTCTTCCATCTAATCTGAGCAGGTGTTTCTCTGGTACACATTGAACTTGCTTTTTCTCAGAGAGTCTGGTAAGCCCAGAAACTGATGTCACTTCCACAAATAAATGATCTCATTGTTTCCGTTGTGTATGATAATATCTTGTGATCCTAGTAGCCTCTCCAGAAACTTCTTGCATTATTATCTTGCTTAGTATCTGGAAAATGAAAATAGTAGACAATAAGGAAGTCTTAGCCTTCCAGGATTCTGCTTAGTTGGTCCTGAATATGCATCCAGAAAGGCAAGAAGGAAACAGTTCCATAGAGAAGACTGAAGATGCCTGCCATTTTATGGTTATTATTTGGCCACTGTGACGACACAGAAGAATTAGACATAGATTCCTAATTTGGAACTTTACAATGATGTCTTTAATTATT